TATATATATATATATATATATATATTAGCCTCACAGGAAACACTCAAATAACACTCAATAACCTCTTACAAGATGTAGTAAGATATGCAGATCTTAAATAAACAATGTCAAGATATGATATAGTCCATTATAAATGAAGTAGATTTAATATAGCGTTCATAGTGTGCTATAAATAATCATACTCTTAAAAGTTATAACCACAAATATGTAAGTATTATAATGTATTATTGTTGTTGTTATGATTATTTCTGAGACGATATACCATATTATAAGGTTTTTTACAATGCATTAGGCATTCGTTATAATTCATAATGCATAATAAAAGTGTTACCAATAATTCTTCAAGGTAACAATTGCAGGATACCATTTATAGCACAGTCTTAGAAGAATTGAATAAGGTCTTAGTTTATACTGAAATCTCTGCAGACTATATATATAATGTCACAAACTAAAACTCTAAAGAAGACTCTTGAGAAAATCTCTCCGTTTAACCTCAGTGCTGTCTAGGAGTTGACTGAGATATTTAAGAGATCTCACTTGTGATTTTTCTTTCCTGTAGGAACTGTTTTCACTCACCTTGAATGTGGTGCAGTTGGCCAGGTTGAGAGCGGCCTGCTCTGTCTCTCTCTCCTGCACCATCTGGCCTAGTTTCTGTCATTGCTTCCCCAGGAGAGACTGACCCGAGCAGGAAAACACTGCAGGGAGCAGCTGCCACCCTGTGCTCACCTGCAAGGAATCCACACATAGTGACAGAAGTTTTGTTGGCAAAACAGAAGAATGTACTGTAGACTTTCGGGTGTGGAATAGTAAATGCAACTTCAAAAGTGAGCTGTCTTCAGTGCCATCTGGTTTCTGAGCAGAGAGAAATGGCAGGATTTATTCAAAAATAATAACTTTTCATAATGCTAAAGGGTGTGCATAAGGATCTTTTTGCATTCAAAGAACAAAAGGATATGGAAGGGATATAAAACAGCTGTGCACATTGTCTTTAATCAGAGGAGCTTGATTTCAGATTTGGCATTATGATTTTTGGTGGTCCACATTCCTCCCTGTCGATTAACGACAACAACTCTCAAATTTGGGTCTGTTTCTGTAGGAAACCATATCAAAGCATTAAACAAATGATTGTCTCCTCGCACATCAGTCGCCATGCTAATTTCGCAAAGAGGAAATTACTATTGGTTAATAGCAAGCACACGGCGCATTAATCTCAATGTCTCACCCATGGCCTGCATATTCATATAAATATAACATGACTTGTCACCACTCTTGAAATTTATTGGTTTTCCACCTTCGCAAATTAAGAGTTCCAATTTATGAATATTTTAGCACATGTGCGCTCTGCGGGACATTTATCACTGGCGTCGCTATTCTAAACAGAATAAATGAGCAGTCAAGCTGCCGCGCAGCCGGACGTTCCTGTGGACAGATTAATGAGAGAGTGAGAGCGATGGGGCAGCCGGGCAGGTTGGGCCTCCCTCGGAGGAGAAGAGATACAGGAAGCATGACTGAGATCCACAGCAGAGATTCTCAAGTAGAGAGCTTGATCTTCCTGCTCACTAATTAAGCACGTAGAAGACCACCATGACTGCCTAATTACCCACAATTCTCTTTGACGCTATTGGAAGAGAGCTGAACTGAGCTGGAGGATGACATCACTGAATCAACAATGAACTGACTTTAAACATAATGCATTATAAAAAAACCTTATAATATGTTGTATCATCTTATGAATATTCATAAGAACAGTTTTAATGTATTATAATATTTACTTATTTGTGGTCATAGCTTTTAAGATATGATGATTTATAACACACAATGAACACGTTGCATCCACTCTAGTTACAATGGATTATAGTTCTCATAGTTATCATGTATTATAAGTCTCATATCTTGCCATGTTACTTATGTTACTTTACTTAAAGCAGACAAAGCCCACTTATAAGTAATAATAATAATAATAATAATAATAATAATTTTCTCAAGCAACCATAAGATTAGATATCAGAGAAGATGAATGTGTAATATGACACATTTGCTTTGAACTATTTTTCAACTATTTTTTTTTTCAGTTTGATTTTTTCAGTTTGATTATTTAGACAGCTATTGATAAGTAACTCTGCAACTACATGTCAACTAGTACTAATACTCTAATGAGAGTTAGTTGACATCTCACTAATTAAGCACGTAGAAGACCACCATGACTGCCTAATTACCCACAATTCTCTTTGACGCTATTGGAAGAGAGCTGAACTGAGCTGGAGGATGACATCACTGAATCAACAATGAACTGACTTTAACTGAAAAATGAACTGTTTACTATTGTCCTCTTTTTAGAGCAGCAGAATTGAATGTTGTTTGTATTATTGACACACAATTTCCTGTAGACTGTAAAGCTGCTTTGACACGATGTGTGTTGTATAAAGTGCTATATAAATAAAGGTGACTTGACTTGACTTGTCTGATTGCATTTTTTTTTCTGATGCCATGTCAAAAGAATGATGCAATGTCATGAAAGAATGAGATGTCAAAATATTGTTATAGTGCCAAAAATGTTGCAATGGCAAAAAATGTTAAAGGGGTCATATGATGCGATTTCAATTTTTCCTTTCACTTTGGAGTGTTACAAGCTCTTGGTGCATAAAGAAGATCTGTAAAGTTGCAAAGACTAAAGTCTCAAATCCAAAGAGATATTCTTTATAAAAGTTAAGAGTCAGCCACGCCTACCTAAAACGGCTCGTTCTAACACGCCCCCACATGTCTACGTCACGATGTGGGAAGATTTGCATAATGCCGCCCAAATGTTCACGCAAAGAAAGAAGGCGTAACTTTTATTCTCGCTGTAGTATTGTTGCTGCCGCCTCCGCCATGTCGTGAAGATGCTGTGTGCTTCGCTGTGGGCTTTCACCATGGACGAAGCGGAGTCCAGCCCGGAGTCGTCACATGTCCTTCCGGACGCTCCTTCGTCGAAATCGCCGGCCGCGCTGTTCTCAAACCCACCCGCCTCTGCTCGCTCTAACCCTCCGGCCATTCCTCACGCTAGCCCACGGCCTCTGCTCACTGTAGGCCGCCGCCGCTCACTCTAGGCCAACGTGTGTGACGCTGTTTCGTTGTGAAAGCGAAACTACTTTGTTTGGCCTT